ATGTTTCTTTCACGTGTACACTTTGCTTCCTTTCCCACAGACCCGGTTCCAGCCTGCTTCCCCTTTCTTCTCTGGACACCCTTCCGCCCACGCATGCGGTTTCTGGCTGATAGAGAAACTTTTATCTCTTGTAACTCTTTGTAGACTTGTTTCAGGCTCATCATCCCATCTTCCCTTGCAAGTCTCCAGATTCTTTTGAGGCCTGGGGGTGCTGGTCTTGCTGGAAACCACACACTCGGTCCCTCAGAACAGACTCCCCCTCTTGATCCCAAATGTCACCATTTGGGATCACAATCAAGGAAGATCACCATATATGGTACAACAGTAAAAGAAATGACAGAAGATACAATAGCGGATTAGTAGAAATTCACCGGTTATGTCAGAAATAATTCTAGGCATTTCTCCGTAAAAGCAATCCATTGCAGGGGGGGGAAGTATCTGAAATCAGTAAAGGATGTTGAATCATGGAAGAAGCAGAAACTTCTCCAAGGCAGTTCTTACGAGTAAAAGAGTTTTTAGCATAGCTCGAATATCATAAGGAAAGATGATTACAATTACAACATTGATGACTGAATAGGAAAGTTCTCTCTTCCAATTGTGTACATACAATAACCATCCATTCTGGATTACGGACTCTAGCTCTTCTCAAGCACATAGTCCTTCCCAGAGATCTGAAACTTTCCATACATAAGGGCACACGTTGTAAACATTTATCCTTTTATTAAGAACAAAGCTATAGCCACAAACCAGTTCTTTACCCAACAGAGGGATAGAAGCCAGTTGGTCAACCAATCCAGTCCTGTAGCCCTGGCGATGTTAGTGGCCAGTTCCTGTAAATAGCAGATATGATACACTTTGACTAGTGAGAAATATTGAAACAACAATCCCCTTTATCTCTTCACACACACACCCAGGTGGTGTTTTTGGAGCAAAAAATCGCTTGCTACATGATTTTCCAGTACGTTCCAGTAGGCAAGCTTCCCAGCTCATCCAGGATATCCAAGAGGGCAGCAGAAGTGTGATATATTGTTTTAGTCAAATGGCAAGCAATACAATTAAGGGATTTCACATTCCAGGTGGCCAAAGCCAGCACTCCTGCTAGAGAAGCCGCCAGACTGAGATATTCTGCATCGCCAGGTAACCTTACATGATCGTTACAATTAGGACCCAATGTTTCCAAGGAGTATGGCCTTATCTGTTGAGTCATGCTCACAACTGCATCTTTAGAAGGAAGCACTGCTGGAAGATGACTGAGGCAGCAAACTCCCATAGCATTCCCTGGTATGTAAGTACAGGAGCAATCTCCACATGTATAGAATGAGCCTGCTGGCAAAAGCCTGTGACCGCCACCGGAGTTCGTCATGACAGTGTGTGGAAGGCGAGCCGAGAGCGTCGAGGCTCTCGTTGGAGTGCCGTCTGTCCTTAGGGTGTCTCAAGAGGTCCAAACCATCCCTCTGCCACCCCTTCGAGAGACTTTCCATCAGGGAATAGACACCTAGGAGTGGGAGGAGAATTTACTGAGATTAACAGTTGCCACACAAACAGAGGGGGAATGGGCGGGAAAGGAAGAAAAGGGGAGGTCCATAATAGAGGCGGGAATGGGAGAGATAAAAAGGGAGAGAGACAGCATACCAGGGGGGGGGTGTTGGGAACTAATCTGGGTAGAGGACCCTTGGACATGAAGATTGGAGAAGGTGAAAGTACCCTGCGAGGAATCTGACTACCGCCGGAGGAACGGACTACCCCAGTGACCATCCTATTGGGGTGAGTCAGAGGCACGAGAGTGGAGACGGAGAAGGAAGAAAAGGTAGCAGTAGCCAGGGGGGCGGAGGAACGCTGGGCATGGCGTGTGGAGGAAGCACGGAGGAGGGCATACCTCCAGGGCCATGGGGTTCCTATGAGAGAGAAGGGGAGCCTTTATGGCGAGAGGCCGGAGATGAGGAGACCCTACTGTTATGAGGGGACCAAGAAAGAGAACACCCTACTGAAGATAACGACCCCTTCTTACCCGGTCCGTGGGAGACTAAATCACTGAACCCCTTTGAAACAGAAGTGTGGTGGCCATTGGTGCCATGAGAGACGTTACCAGTTGGACAGTTGAATGATGTGTTACGGCTGGATGAAACAATAAATCCCAGCTTTGATTTGACTTTAAAATTAACTCCTGTTTGAGAAAGAAAAGGAGGCTAGATATGAACCCTCACACAGTGAAAGAGCAATTCATACTTTCGTAGGAATCAACCGGTCCCATCGTTCTTCATCTATAATGTAGTTTTGGCTGACATCCGGTGACATTAACACATGGTTGTCCTCCTCCAATGTCTCTGTGTCTGATTTCTACCTTATGGATATCCTTTTGAACCTTTTTTGTTCCCCATTCCCACATATCCTTATAAGTCCCTGTAGCGGGCCACTCTCAAGCCTTTACCCATCCAGGCCTCTAAGAGTGCTCACTACCTTTCACCAAAACTGCTGCCACCAACCTATCCTTAAAATCAAAAAGGACAAGTGTTTCTTTCAAACAAATAGAAATGTTTATTGATTACACAAAAATAAAAGGGTAAATCACTGGTATTAAATCAATTAGTCAATCACTGTTTCTCAGACACTAGCTCACTCAGACTTTTCCCTCATTGACAGGCTCTCACTCTCTATCTGTCTCTCTAATCACTCATCTTCCAAACTCAATCTCCTCTCCTCTCACACGTCACACACACCTTATAATTATATAACCCAGCTCCTCCCACTTCTGCACCAACCTCCGTCCTCTCATTGGCTGAGGTTCCCCTGCCCAGCTATGACGGACAGGTAAGAGCAGAGCTGAATGTCACAGTCCCCATTCCTGTATTATTCACAGGAGAAACACAACCTGGAATTAAACAACTTGTCAGCGTTTCTCCTGCATCCCAGTCCTCTCTCCAAGCAGAACTCTTTTTTTTGTCTCAAATTAAAGCTGACATTCTCCGTCATACATTATCACCAAAATGTAAAAGTTGCCACTCAGCGTGTTCCGGATCTTGGTGAGGGGGTTGTGGTGACGCAAGAACATGGACAGTTGTATTCCTCTCTCATTCAAGGATAATCCTGCAAGATTCAGAGCCTGTGATTGACACCCCGGCCTTGATTCCTTTGACATGTTGCAGAACCCTTTTAATCATTTTGCCTTGTGACAGATCTGGCTCAAGACCAATTTTTTCAGCTGATGTTTCCACAGTCACAATACAGTGGTTCCTCGCATAACGAGCGCCCCGTTTAACGACGAATCCACATAGTGATTCGTTTTTTGCGATTGCAAAAGCGATCGCATTGCGATGTTCCCTATGGGGTTTTTCCTTTCCGTTTAGCGATGTTTCCCCATAGAGACGATTAATCCGGAACGGATTAACGTCGCTATGCGGGGCACCACTGTAGTTGCATCCCTCCAGCAGCCTTTTCTCCTGTACTGATCGATCTGTGCTATGTTACTGAGTCGGACGACAGGCAGCAACTTCCCTGGCGGCATGACCTCCCCTCTGGCACCTGCAATTGTAGATCAGGTGCAGGGCTTGGGGTATGCTCACTGCTATCGGCAGAAGGACTAAACTCCAGGTAATTCCTATACCGTTCATTTTGAGCATCCTGATTATTAGGTCTGTTCCAAAGAACACCAGTACAAATAAAACACTTCAAGGCGTCTCTTTTGGAGCACTTAAGATGTCAGCCACCAACATATTATAAGGAGTCCCACTAACGAGAGAATACAGTGGTGCCTCGCTTAACGAGTGCACCGTTTAACAACAAATTCGCATAGCGATCCCTTTTTTGGGATCGCTAATGCAATCGCATACCGATGGTTCCAATGGGCAAAAATCGCTTTGCGATGATCGGTAAGCGTTTCGCTTACCGATCTTCACATTGCGATGTCGGGGAATCAGCTGTTCGGCGGTTCCAAAATGGCCACCGGAAGACCCAAAATGGCCGCCTGCATTGTTTTCGCGCCCTGCCCTCGCTTACCGAGGGTGCAAAAATGGCGGCACTATGGGGAGACTTCGCAGAACAGTGAGTTTTAGAGCCATAGGAACGCATTAAACTTTAATGCTTTTCTATGGCGTTTTCTGTTCCATATAGCAATGTTTTCCCATAGCGACGGTTAATCCGGAACAGATTACCTCGCTATGCGGAGCACCACTGTAAACGAACAGTTTTGTCCTGATGAATATCCAGTCTCACAAGGGCATCCTTCTAACTGTCCCCCTTGAAGCCGAACCAATTTCAAGTTCGGCATTTCTCCAGCAGATACTTCAGTGGTGATAACAGCTATTGGTCAGCATCTGGATGTGATGGGCACCAAAATATTCCATACGAGAGCCAGCACAACACAACAACACACATGGAACTCAAAGAATAAACAAAAAAAGTCTTAATATTACTGGCCATGTCTGGTCTTCTTTTTCCTAAAATAAATGTTTCTGTTATGACAGTGCTGGTTTCAAGACCTTAATTTGGTTTCTGTGAACCTACTTCTGCTTCTCATTTTCCATCTGGATCAAATACGAGGCTGGGTATAGTCCAGAACCATATACAGGAGAGGTATTTCAGGAAGGAAGGAAAGAAGGCTGCCTCGCACTCTTCCTAGACTCTCTGAACGAGTTAGAGAAGACAACTTTTCACAAGGGAAGGTCATGTACAATAAGGTGTGGCCAGAGTCCTTCTCTCCCAACCATAATCTCTGCACCAAGTGATTCTTCTTGTAGGCCTGGTGTCTCCCAGAGGGCACTGCGCTGATCAGGACCACGCCAGTTTATCAGGGGACTAGAGAGACACACTCTTTACTGTGGTTCACCTGGAAAGGATATAAATGTCTCCTCCAAAGTCACAAATTTATTTTATTTTATTGGGGCTGTTGCTAAAAGCAACCTTCTCACCCCTTTCCTACTCAAGAAAAAAAACAAGTGAGATATGGGTACAGAAGTCCTTTTGAAGATGTCCGCCCGCAGCGCCACCACGTCCCTCTGAGAAATGGGTACAGAAGTCCATTTGAAGATGTCCCTGACACCAGTTTTAGAAAACCCCTTTTCACCGTATTGGGAACACTACTGTCATTTATTTCGAGCAAGAATGTTTGATAGTAAAATGCTCTCTACTTGGTGTGGATTTTGTGGTGTTTATTGAGACTTCCACCTGAAAGGAAGCTTTTCCCACACTCCATGCATTTGAAGGGCTTCTCTCCTTTGTGAACCATTTCATGGGAACGAAGGCTCTTCCTTTGACTGAAGTTCTTTCCACACTCCAGGCATTTATAAGGTTTCTCCCCTGTGTGGATTCGGGAGTGCATAGTCAGCTTACCACTCTCACTGAAGCTCTTTCCACATTCCTGACACTTAAAGGGTTTCTCCCCTGTATGGACTCTTTGGTGTTGTCTAAGGGTCTGGGCTGACTTTAAGCTTTTTCCACATTCAAAGCATTTATAACATTTCTCCGCGATATGAGTTGCATGGTGCATCTTCAATTCTTCCTTTCGTTTGAAGGCCTTTCCACACTCCGGACATTTAAATGGTTTCTCTCCTGTGTGGATTATTTGATGGCTAGTAAGTGCTGACTTTGTAATGAAGCACTTTCCACACTCATTACACTTAAAGGGTTTCTCCCCCGTGTGGGTGCGCTTATGTTTAACAAGATCTCCACCACGTATGAAGCTCTTCCCACACTCCAGACATTTATGCGGCTTTTCTCCTGTGTGAATCCTTGTGTGAATAATAAGGGGGAAACGTTGCACAAAAGTCTTCCCACACTCCAGACATTTATATGGTTTCTCCCCAGTGTGAATTATTTTATGGGAAATAAGGTTACTTTTTTGGCTGAAGGTCTTCCCACACTCTTGGCATTCAAAGGGCTTCTCGCCTTTGTGGATCTTGTTATGTGAAGAAAGGCTTGCCTTCAAACGGAAAGCCTTTCCGCACTCCAGACATTTAAAAGGCTTCTCTCTTGAATGAACGCTTTGATGGCTAAGAAGGGAATCTTTCAATCTAAAGCATTTTCCACATTCCTTGCACTCAAATGGCTTCCCCTCTTTGTGGGTACTCTGGTGGGTTTTCAGGTTTGCGTTCTGGCTGAAACTCTTTCCACACTCCAGACATTTAAATGGCTTCTCCCCTGAGTGAATTCTTTGATGAGCTGTAAGAATATCTTTCACTCTGAAGTGTTTCCCACACTCCAGGCATTCAAAGGGCTTCTCCCCTGTGTGAATTCTCTGATGGGAATTTAAACCTGACTTCTGGCTGAAGGTCTTTCCGCACTCCAAACATTTATATGGCTTCTCCCCAGTGTGCACGCTTCGGTGCAAGGCGAGACCGCTCCGACTGAATCTCTTTCCACATTCCCAGCATTTCAATGACTTTCTTTTCCCTTGACCAACGGTCTTTCTACGTGCTACAGGTTTGTATGGTTTCTCCCCTTTGTGAACTTTCTCATGGCGGTCTAGGGCTGATTTACAGGGAAAGGTTTTCCCACACTCAGGGCACTCATTATTTCCCTCTCCTTTGGATGTTTTCTGAGGAACCTGGACTTCCTCTGGAGGAGAAATGGATTCGTCCATCTTCTCATCTATGCACTTTCCTCCCAGTTTCTTTGCTCCATCTTGATTCTCAACAGCCTCTTCAAAATCGAGACTTCCACCCTTTTCCCCTGGCACTTGATGTCCATCTCTTTTCTTTCTTCTCGTCAACATTTTTCTCCTAAAAAGAGAGGAAATTAAAGTGAGCGTGGAAAACAAATTTTCAGATTAAGTAACAAACCTGATGAATGGACAAAAAAGGATGCAGAAGAATAAAATCCAGCTCTGGGTGGACACACCTTCACAAACTTCTGTGGGGACGTTGATTCTGTCACCAGTTAAGATGCTGAGGAAACTAAAACAAGGATTTTGCCTTGCTCCTCTCCGCAGACAGATATGAGATAAGCCATTCCACCTCTTTTTCAGACTTGTGATGTCCTGTGAGGAAACGGTAGTCACCAGTGTATGACAGTTCCTTGATTTTTGGTTGGAAAAAAAGGAGAAGTCGTGTCCTTTGTAATAAACTTTTTATCAACAGCACTAACGGATTTGTCAATAACAACTTCTGTAGGGCCAACATGGGCAATATCTACAGGTAACTGTCCATAAAAGGGACAAACTGTCACAGGAATCTTTTTCCCTCAGCGGGGAGATGGCCCAAACCTCTCATGATCCGTGGGCTTTGTCAGGTAACCACTCCTCACTGCACAAATAGTCCCACCACATTGGTGGGGAGACCAGTCCCCCTCTGGCAGCTTCTGGTTCGGCAAGATGGGTCCCGGCTGGACAACCTTTCTCTAGGGATCTCGGCTTCAGGGATAAACCAAAACTGTCCACTTTTCTGGACCTAATACACATAAAAACACAAATCATCACACTGCTCACTTCTTTCCCCTTTCTACCACTCCTCGTGTTGCATCCCTTACACTCCCTTTCTCAGGTATTTTGAATACTTGAGTTCTCCTTCCTGTTTCTTCTCTTCCCACACAACTACCTTCCTTGTCTCTCCTCTCTTATCTCCCTCCTCTGTTGTCAGGATCATATCTGTAACGTGGCGGGCCACTCCAAAGTCCCTGCCTACTCAGGCCTCTCTGAATGCCCACCACACTACTATACTCTCTTGCTGCCACCAACCTTTCCTTTAAATGAAAAAGGACAAGGGTTTCTTTGAAAAATAAAAACTTGGTTTATTGATTACAAAAGAAAATAAGTAAATCTCTGGAAGATAATCAAGATGTAAATCACTTCTAATTATTTAAAATCAAGCACATAGACTTTCCCTCACTGACACCTCAGGCACTCAGGCCTCTTTCACTCTCACACTAGATCTCTCCAGATCTCACTCTAACACTTAATCTCCCCAACTGATCTCTCAAACACCATACACACCCCTTTATATCCCAGCTCCTCCCCCTTTAGCACCACCTTCCGTCCCCTCGTTGGCTGCTGTTCCACTGCCCAGCTGTGCCAGTGTATAGGTTTCTCAGCTGACCGTTACAATATCTACCCTCTTTCTCTCCTTCTTTGGCTCCTCCCGCTTTTCTCCAATCTCTAGTCCCTTCACTTCTTCTGTCACCTTTTCCACACCACTGCTACTATCCTCTGCCTTAAACGTGGGAGGGGACAACTCACTCTCCTTTTCCTCTATATTCTTGTCCTCCAGTTCACACCCATCTCCATTTAAAAAAGCCCTGAAATGCTCTATCTCATGCAAACTAGTGAAAAGCTAATCTGTCTCTTTAGCAAACAGAGGGATATCACAGTGTCAGTCAAAAGATGTATAGGCAAGATTCTCACTGCAAAAGTGAAAGCTGAGGTTGACTGAAGACACAGCTACATAGATTTTATTTGTCCTGATCTGTCTGTCTGTCTACCTACCTACCTAAAATATTTTACTCCACATACCTCTTTAAAAATGATCCAAGCTGGTTTATTTATTCATTCGTATTTATTTAATTTATATCCTGCCCATCTAGATCGAAGTCTAATTTATGTAATTAACAACACAATATTAAAAACTTAAAGCAGTAAAATCTTCAACTATTAAAGAAGAATAAATAACATTATTTTTAAAATCCTAGGTAAACGCATTAAAAAATCTAGAAGCAAAAGGTGAGCATTCAGTTGGACGGTCATGTGGCTCTTCCTTATCTCTAATAATTTCATCAGATACTGACACCATTTGCAATGGTAACTATTGAACATTTATTTTAGAACTATTGAATAAAAAATAATCATGAACTGGAACATAGTCTTTATCTCTTCCCTCTAACGGGTTGGGAGGTAAAGGTAAAGGTTCCTCTTGACAATTTTTGTCCAGTTGTGTTCGACTCTAGGGGCAGTGCTCATCCCCGTTTCCAAGCCATAGAGCCAGCATTTTGTCCGAAGACAATCTTCCATGGTCACATCGCCAGTGCGACTTAAGACACGGAACGCTGTTACCTTCCCACCGAGGTGGTCCCTATTTATCTACTCGCATTTGCATGCTTTCGAACCACCAGGTTGGAAAGCGGGAGCTGGGACAAGCGACGGGGGGCTCACTCCGTCACGTGGATTCGATCTTACGACTGCTTGGTCTTCTGACCCTGCAGCACAGGCTTCTGTGGTTTAGCCCGCAGCGCCACCACGTCCCCTAACGGGTTGGGAAGGGCCTTCTAATTTTTTTTTCTAAAATGAAGGGTTTCCCAAAACACGAATTCCAAGGGCCCGGCTGCTCGGCAGGTGACCTTTCTTTCATCATCCTCCCCCTCTGTATAGGCAACAGGGGCCCAGATGCCTCTCCCAGGAACTCTTCCCACTTGGGCCCCTCCTCGGGTTCCAATATCTCCCAGATCCTCTTGATTCAGACCTCTTCTTTATCTCCCATGCTCGCCATTCACTCCTTTCCCTTCTCTCTTCTTCCACACTTCTTCTTCCGCCCCTTGAGGGACTCCTTCGAGGTTTCCTCTGGAGGCATCGTGAGTCCATATTCCCCTCCTTTCTCTGTCTCCTTGATGGGAATGGATGGTACTCCAGTGAGAGGTGACACCGTCTTGCCTCCTGGCTCACACAGGGAAATATAAACCATCTCATTTTTTTCAGTGACTGATAGACAATCAGTCCCTGGAAGAAGGTCTGCCTGAAGAGAAAGGTCTTTACCTGCTCATGGAAGAAAAGGAAAGATGGGGCCAGCCTGGCCTCCAGGGGGAGGGAGTCCCAGAGCCTGGGATCGGTCACAGAGAAGTCCTCTCTGATATTCCCAGGGGTTGTAGGACTGAGAGAAAGGCCTCTCCTGATGATCTGAACACCTTGGCAGGCTCATAAATGGAGACGTAGCTCTTGAGATAGCTTGGACCCAAACCATATAGAGCTTTACAGGTTAGAACCAACGTATTGAATTCTGTGTGGAAACAGATGGCAACCAGTGGGAGCTGCTCTAATGGGGGGTTATGTGATCCCAGCAACCATCTTGGAAGCTGTAAAGTTTCAAAGCACTTCCCAGGGGCAGCCCCAAGTAGAGTGTGTTACAAGAATCCAACCAAGGGATGTGTCACTATGACCAGGTCACACCTGTCCAGGAAAAGCCCAGCTGAAGCACTACTTTTGGTCCTGCAGTGAGTGCCAAAACGTGGCAGACGGGCATCGGAGAAGAGCTCCCTTCAAAGCGCTCAGGACGGCCGTTCTGCAAGAATTGCACTGGCTGCTCTGAATGCTTCTGCCTGAAGTCATCGCGTTGACGCTTACCTAGAAAGCCCTAAACAGCTTGGCCCTCCCAGAGATTTTGAAAGAGAAGCTCTCCCTAGATTTGCTCCGTCATGAAGGCCTGCTTGGGGGGAGGCCCTCTCTGTGGCCCAAGGGTGGAGAGCAACACATGCTGTGATGATGTGGAAGAGAGGGGTGGTACCTCTTCCACAATGGAGCTGCTGTTGTTGCATCCCAGCTTGAGTAGATGATATGAGCTGAACTATAAATACTGTATTATCAAAACAAAGACAAACGAGATGACTATTAACAGGGAAGCATGCAAAGTCCCACAGTTAGACAGTGGAAAAATATGCACAAATATAAAGTGGGTGACAGCCAGCTTCTCAGCAATATAAATGATCAGTGTGGTGCGATAGAAGAAGGAAGGAAGGAAGGAAGGCAGGGAGGGAGGGAGGCAGGACACAGCCAGTCAAATCAGTAGAAGTAATCATGTCCAGATCAAGGGAAGTAATATGGCATCCTTTTTCTGTTTTGGTCAGACCCGCCTGGAATCCTGTGTCCAATTCTGGATACTGGAGAATAAAAAAAGGATGTGGAGAAGGTGGAAAGTGTCCAGAAGAATCATAGACAAGTGAAGTTAGAAGGGGCCTACAAGGCCATCAAATCCAACCCCCTGCTCAACGCAGGAATACAATCAAAGTATATCAGCCAGGTAATTATCTAAGTTTTTCTTGAAGGCCTCAACTGTTGGAGCCCTCACCAACTCCCAATTTAACTGGTTCTGGGGTCATACTGCTCTAACAGTTGGGAAGTATTTCCTGATATTCAACCAAAATCTGGCTTCCTTTAACTTGAGCCCATTGTTGCATGTCGTGCACTCTGGGATGATCGAGAACAGATCTTGTCCCTCCTCTGTATGACAGCCTTTCAAATATTTGAAAAATGCTATCACATCACCCCTTAGTCTTATTTTCTCAAGGCTAAACATGCCCAGTTCTTTCAGCCTTTCCTTATAAAGATTGGTTTCCAGCCCCTGATCATCCTTGTCGACCTCCTCTAATCTTATTCCAGTTTGTTAGCATCCTTCTTGAAGTGTGGTGTCCAGAAATCGACACAATACTCATGGTG